AATGTTAACCTAAGGATTATTCCTTTCTTCCAACTTCATTCTTCCAAAGCATAGTTTAAAAGGATACATCTTTTAGTCCTTTTCTTGTACATTATTCTGTATCCACATTCTCTGCATCTGATTGGATCCCTGGATTTTATTTCATTTTCTGTGTTACATTCTAGAAAAGAAAACACAGTTTTCAAAGTCTCAAAAAGAACACACAACAGATAAGCAAATTATCTTAACTCTATTTTTCACCAAAAGCACTTAGAATACACTGACTCTCCGGGGTATCTGGATATCACCAAATATGGGGATATGGAAGGGGGTAATACTTGTGAGCAATGCATCCTGTATCCTCACCCCCACCTCCACCCCACGAGAGAAATGAAACCTGTATTAGGTTTTTGTATGGTGCGAGTGTAGTATATAAAAGTCCTGCGACTCATTTATGCAGAAAGTATAATGATCATCACAAAACGTACTTGTATATATGTGCGTCTCTTACCTCCGCAGATATATATCATTGGCTGCTGTTTTGGGGGTTGCACGTCGTCCTCCTGGGGGTCCATTGTTAAATGCCTAAAACCAGAGACCCACAAACTGAGAACTTCACAGGGGCTGCTCACAAATCCAGCCAAGCTTCACTTTCCCCGGGAAAGTGAAAAAGGTCCGGACTCCTCTAAATTTGTACCTTTCCCTCCGGATCTATGGTAGATCTAAAGGACGAAAATAGCTCGCGTTCCCATTTAAACCATGTACTAGTTCTAATTTCCCAGAGATTAGGAGCATATGGCCCCCAAATTATATATTTCAGCAGGGAACATGCTAACCGAGGATAAAGGAAGAAAAATTAAACCCGTCCTTGGCCCGCAGTATGCTACCAGGAGACCGGCTGTTCCGACAGTGGCCTGTCATACTTTACTAACTCCACATTCAAACCTGTGTAGTCTCCAATAGTTTCCCAGTTTTAACCTAAATATCCGCCTCCGTCCCCCCCCCCCGCCCACCCCCGGCCCCAAGTCTGGTCCCTCATTTTCCTACCTACGAAGTCAGAGACAGGACTCGCTCCGCAAGGCCACAAAAGCAGCAGCAAACGGGCGTCCGGTCGCTGCCAACTTCCGGCGCTTGCGATTGACGTAGGCACCCACGTCACCGCCCTTTCCGCAGAGGCGGGGCCAGGTAACCAGGGTGATGGGTAGGCGCGGAAGCCGGCAGGTTTGGGTTATGGTTTTGACAGTCCCCCGCCCCCGCCCCCCCCG